TATATATATATATATATATATATATATATATATATATAAATTCTATAGAGAGACGGAAACAAAAAGTTATCTTTTTACTATAGTAAAACTGAGAGTTCAAACCAAAATTCAACTGAACAACTGAAATAAAAAGTCTATGAAAATTGGGAATCCAAAACTAGCTAATTAAGAACATGTTTAATGATTCTAAACATGATCGTGATATACATAGAGATGCAAACCAAAAAATATGTAAATAAATTCTGCACCTGCTATCAACTGCTTTAAAAAAATGGGTAATTACAGTTCGATCATGTGAAATTGATCATTCAGATACTACAAGGCCTATGAACCACTTGGTCAATTTTTTTTACTAAGTTTATGTATTAATACTGTGAGGAAACATAGTCCATTACTCAAATGGTCACTCAACTATCCCAAATTATCTCCTATAGTCACTTTACTTTCGTTTGCAACAACAAAGTCATTGAACTATGCCTATTGCACTCAAAAGGTCACTCAACTAGATTTTCCAAATTTTGGATTGCCAAATACCTATTTTACACTCTAAATTATAAACAATTATCTTCTTTTTATTTTTTTAAATTTTTTTAATATTATAATTTTTCGTTTTTAACTTATATTATGGACTTACCTATAAAATAAATAAATATTATTTATAAATTAAAAAAATAAAAAGTATTTAAGCATGTATAATGCTGGAATAACAAAATAATAAGCATAGTAAAAAAAAATTAATTAAAATAATTTGTTAGTAATAATAATTTTAGTATTAACAACAAAACTTCAAAAATTTATTTACACAATTCAGAATGAAAGAAAATAAAGGTTGTAAAATATATATTCCATGCACGTAATATAAAAATAATTATTTAAATAAAGGTATTTTTATAATATAAATTATATATTCTTGAAAATTATGCTCAATTATATTATTATGTTTCTACCAATTTTCCGATAACACAAAGTTATGTTCCGGAAAGTAGGGGGACTATCTGCATAGGGTAAAATATGCTATTTAAGCCGTGCATGGAATATATATAATATAATTGAGCATAATTTTTAAGAATATATAATGTATATTATAAAAATAACTTTATTTAAATAATTATTTTTATATTACATGCACGGAATATATATTTTACAACCTTTATTTTCTTTCATTATTGTGTAAATAAATTTTTTGAATTTTTGTTGTTAATACTAAAATTATTATTATGAAAAAGTTATTCTAATTAATTTTTTTTACTATGCTCATTATTTTGTTATTCCAACATTATAGATGCTTAAATACTTTTTTTTTAAAGAATATTTATTTTTTCTATAGGTAAGCCTATAATATAAATTAAAAAGGGAAAATCATAATATTGAAAAGTAAAAAAACAAAAAAAAAAAAAAACAAAAGAAGATAAATATTTATAATTTAGAGGGTAGAATTGGTATTTGGCAATCCAAAATTTGGAAAATCTAGTTGAGTGACCTTCTGAGTGCAATAGGCATAGTTCAGTGACTTTGTTGTTACAAACGAAAGAAAAATGACTTTAGGAGATAATAAAGTTTAGTGACCATTTGAGTAATTGACTCTGAGGAAACGGATAAGTTGGACAAAATAACGCCCCTTGACATAAATTGTGTCTCGGTGTGTTGATTATGTGCATGATTTTGCTCTAAGAGGTTAGAGGCTCAAACCTTCATTAGCACATTTTTTTGTCAAATATTTGAAAGAGTTTTTGTGGTTAAAAATTGCGATGAAGTAGAATTGAACTCAGGATCTTTTCTTACTTAAGACTCAACAAAACTAATAGATAAAGGCTATTTATTGTCTAGAGGTATGATAATTAAAGTTATTATTCCAATTCTTCTATAAATTTCGACATCGCTCGCAAAAATTCTTGCATGCGCCCCTGACTATAGGTCTACAGTAAAGTTGTCTCCGTGTGACCTATAGGCCACATGTTCGAGCCATGAAAGCAGAACTAATGCTTGCATTAGTGTAGGCTGTCTACATCACACCCGCTGGGGTGCGGCGCTTCCCCAAACTCTAGTTGTTAGATTTAATAAGAATATTGTGGAAAAAAATTGATTTAATGGTAACTCATAGTGAAATTTTTGCACTTTCTCCTATTTTTTGGTCTATCAACTTAATCCAACAAATTTCGAATTTCTCAAATGATCATCCAGCTTATGAATTTTCTCAAAGACTTCCTTTATTTCTTAAATAAACTCTGTGTACAATTAATAATATTTACTTGATAGATATTTCATTCACCAAATAATATTTTTATTCTTTTATAAGTTAAGATATTATCCCATTTACCCGATAAAACCAACTCAATAATATTTACTTGATTAAAAAATGATGATCAACTACATCGGCCATGTTTCTTTAGCTATTGCTAACCACGTTAATTAGTTTTCTTTATAATATTTGTTAGCAAATGCTCAGTTAAGTAATCTGCTTGATTACACAATCTAATAGGTTAATTATTAACCTGTTGGATTCTCTTAACTATCATGCATAATTCTATCACTACTACTTATCTTAGGCCCCGTAATTCTTTCCCTTTTTTCAAATTTTTCTTTAAAAATGTGTTTGTCCATAAAACTTTGCAAGTTTTTAGAAAAAAAATCGTAAATGAGTTTTCAAAAACCAAAAAGTTAATCACTTTTTCAAAAAAATTCAAAAAAACTTTTTCCCCACACATAAACTGCAAAATTTTCACAAGTGAAATTCATGTTCAAATATCGAGCGTGGATAATTTTTGGCAGAATAGTTCGGGATCCCCCTAAATTTGGCAACTTTTATTTAGTTTCCCTTAAATTTTACGTGTGAACTTGGCAATTTTATAGCTTCGACCCTCTGGACGCTGACAATCCATGGAAGTGCAACATACGCGCTGCCACATGAATTATTTTCCATTTGGCTTTTTTAAAATAAAATATACGGAGTATATTTTTATCCTTATAATTCCATCAACTATTTAAATTATTTTTTCATGCCAAAATCTGTAAAAATAAAATAAAATTTAAAATAACAATAATTTGATTATTTTTTTATTTGTCTAAAGACGATGATATTTTAATCAAGTTTTTTTTTTTTTTTGCATATTTAGTCAGGAAAAGAAGGAATACACAGTTAGAACATATTATTATTGCATCTCAAAAAATAAAATAAAATACTTTGTTGGAACTCCATATATTGGCTAAATAATTGGAACAAATAAATCATTATATTTGATTATGTATCAATTAATATTTGAAAAAAACCCACTTGGAAGCTAGTTTTTAGATTTTTCTTTCCCGCCGCGCACCTTAAAGAGAGTGTATTCACGCTCTTTGCCACATCAGCATCAAGATTATCAAATTTCCAAGTTCAGGAGTATTAAAGACCACGTGAAATTTAAGAGAAACTAAACAAAAAGTTGTCAAGTTTGGAGGTCTCAAACATTTCTGCCTTTTGTTTTTGGTTTATTTAAGTATGTGGAGGTTAACATAAAGGTTATACGCTACAGAGATACAGAATAACCAGAACAACGTTACGTACAAATATATGCAAAAGAGGCCTTTGATGCTATTCCTGCAGTCTCATAAACGTAGTTTTCTTTTCCAAAGTCTGCACTGCATCATGCATGTCACTGTTGAGTATACGAGATCAAATTTCAGCCTGCGATCAACGAGGTTATGAGGATTCAAGTTCTCAGGACATTAATGGACATTCTCGGCCCACTAGGATACTAGGGGAGAGGTGTCTCGTAAGAGCAAATCTTCTCAAAGTTGATATTGTACATCGTTTCAACCATATACGGTTTTATAACGTCAGTATTTAACTTTTTTGGAAGGGTAACCTTGGCCGTAACTGGTAAAGTTGTTGCGATGTGACAGGGACGTCACTGATTCGAGCCGTAAAAACAGCCTCTTGCAGAAATGCAGGATAAGGCTGCGTACAATAGATCCTTGTAGTCCGACCCTTCCCTCGAACCCCGTGCATAGCGAAAGCTTAGTGCACTGGATTGTCCTTTCTCGGTATTTAACTTTTTGTAACCAATGTTCTCAAATTAGAGAAAGCTATATATATATCCACGTAGTACTCATTTTGTTTTATTAATTGAAATCCTATAGCTCAAGATTTCTCCTGTGGTCAGTTGTGCTGGAGTTCGGAAAGAGATAATGAAGAAGCTATTTATGGAATATAAGCACTCCGGCTTGAAGAGTGCGGAGTTAATTTATGACGGACACAATTGTGTATTCTCTGTCAGGCAGTTGCCCTTTTCTTCCAAGGACTTTAGCGTCACACTTGTTGGTATTGTAGTGTCATGACATGGTTTACACGTGACTTGTTAGTTGAGCTGTTAGGCTGTTAGTTAGGTAGCTTATGGTAGTTATAGTTGTTAATATAAGTTAAAGGGTAGATTAGTCTTTTTGTATGCTTACTAGTCTTCTTCTTCTTAGCTCCTTGTATATAATGATACAGTATGTTCAATGAAACAGTGGCTTGAACATTTCCTCTAATCACCGACTCTCTTCCTCACAATTCCTTCCAGAATTTTCCACCATTAGAGCCCTTGATAATCTCAGTATTTGAGCATGGTATTAGAGGAACGTACCTGGATTGAGTCACGCTAGATCTCTGAATTCTTCTTTTGCTTCCATCATCGATTAATCGAGATTTGTTGAAGCTCGTCAATTTTCAGTCATGCCAGAGTCAGATTCGTCGGTGCCGGAGATTGTGACGATTGATCACAATCATCCATTGTACATTGGACCTTATGATAATCCTAGCTCACTCGTGATACCTGTGAAGCTTACAGGCTCCGAGAATTATGGACTATGGAGTAGATCTATGAGAATAGAACTTTTGGGGAAGAAGAAATTAGGTTTCATCACTGGTAGATGCAGCAGGAGTGCGTATGAAGGAGAGTTGATCGAATAGTGAGAGATATGCATTGCCATTGTTCTCTCATGGATTATGAACAATGTGGCACCGGAGCTTCTAGGTGGAGTTGTATATGCATCTAATGCATATCTAGTATGGGAAGATCTGCGAGAAAGGTTCAACAAGGTAAATCGTGTTAGGATTTTTCAATTGCACCGTGAAATTGCCACATTATCTCAAGGAACTAATTCTGTTTCAGTATATTTTATTAAAGGAATTATGGCATGAATATGATGTTTTGGTTCCATTTTCTAATTGCTATGAAAAATCGAAAGAACATGCAGAAAATTTACATCAACAAAGAGTTATGCAATTTCTATCTGGTTTGAACGAATCATATGACCAAGCTAGAAGACAAATTCTTATGAAAACAAATGTGCCTAGTCTAAATCAAACTTATGATATGATTATTCAAGATGAGAGTCAACAAAAAATAGGAGTGAATGCTGTAACTTCTGATAAGATAGAGCCTTTAGCTATGCAAGCAGGACGAGGAAGAGGTAGGAGACAATACCTACAATGTGATTGTTGTCACCTTAAGGGACATACTAAGGAAAATTGTTATAAGATTGTTGGTTATCCTGCTGATTATGCTCCTAGAAGGAGATATGGTGAAGGAATAAGGACTCAAGGTGAATGGCAACAGAACTCAGGCACTGGAAATCAAAATATTTGGAATGGGACAACTAATGGTAAAGGTGGATGGAACAATCCTAATGTTGGTAAGCAAGGTGGCAATGGTGGCAATGCTGGTAAACCAGGTGGCTGGAGAAGAGAACCTATGGCTATGATTAACAATGCAGATGTAAGTACATCTTTTATGCAGGATATGGGTGATGGCCCATCTGGAGTTGCTGAGCACAAGAGATATTACTACTTCACAAATGACCAATACAATCATATTCTAAATCTGTTGAACAAGGAGTCACATCCTGAATCAAGCATGGCAAACATGGCAGGTCCAGGAACAAGTGCAGAAGCAAGTGAGGTTAAATGTCTGATGAGCAATTTTACACAAAAATCACAGGAGAAGGAATGGGTTGTAGATTCAAGTGCTACTCATCACATCACCTCTGATTTAGAGTTATTATCAGATGTTAAATGTACAAAGAAAACTAATAAGTATAGAGTACATCTTTAAATTGGAGAGCAAGCTGATATTACTCACATTGGTAGTGCAACCCTATTAGACAAGAGAGAGATCAAGGATGTGCTTTATGTTCCTAATTTCAAGTTTAGCTTGCTCTCAGTAGCAAATTTAACAAAGGAACTGAAATGTAATGCCAATTTCTTTCCTGATTTCTGTGTATTTCAGGATCTTTGGAATGGCAAGGTGATGGGGATTGGTAAAGAAAGAGGAGGCTTGTATGTACTCAGAGGATTGACTAACAGAATAAATGCACTCAATGCTGTGATCAAGACAAGCAGAGATTCAAGTGAAGTTTGGCATAACAGGCTAGGTCACCCATCTGCATCAGTAATGCGACATGTAGTAGGCTTAAATAATAAAAACAGTGAAGTGTCACATGAAAATTGTTTGATATGTCCACTAGCAAAGCAGACTAGATTGAAGTTTCCATTAAGCAAGTCCAGAACGGAGATATCATTTCATCTTCTACACATGGACCTATGGGGACCCTGTAAGATTGCTACATTAGATAAGAAACATTATTTCCTAACAATTGTGGATGATTACTCTAGATATACATGGGTGTTCTTTTTGCAGCTAAAATCTGAAGCAATAGTGGCAATAAAGCAATCCATTGCCATGGTTCAAAATTAATTTGGTGTTGTGATTAAGGTGATAAGATCAGATAATGGATCTGAATTTTTTAATGCACAATGTTCTGAGCGGTTAACAGGTCTTGGTATAATTTACCAAAGCAGCTTCCCTTACACTTCACAGCAAAATGGCATAGTGCAGAGAAGGCACAAGTATTGACACTGCAAGGGCTTTGAAGTTTTAGGTTTCAATTCCAAATAGATACTGGGGGTTGTGTGTTAAGACAACAGTATACTTGATTAACAGGCTACCATCAAGTGTTCTAGGGGGCAAAACTCCATAGAGTTGTTGTACCACAAGAATGCTAATATTGCACATTTGAGAACTATATGTTGCTTGTGTTATGCAACAAATTTAGTCAAAACAAATAAGTTTGCAGAGAGGGCCAAGGCAGCCATTCTCATGGGATACTCTGAGATACAGAAGGGTTACATTCTGCTTGATTTAGCCACAAAGCAGTTTTTTACAAGTAGAAACGTCATATTCAAGGAATCAGGGTTTCTATTTTCTAAGAAGGATGAGAGCAGATCATATGATTCACAGGAGCACATGGAGAAAGGAATACTGCAATTCTCACCTTTACACACACAGCCAGGTGACAACACATTTGATGGAAGTGTATAAACTCCAACGGCAGAAGACATGAGCCTACAAGAAAATGGAAAAAGTGGTATGCAAGGGAATCTACCAATTCTGCATGAGATAAGCAATGATGATATGTAGGAAACTTCTCAGAATATTCACAATATGGATATTGTTCATGCATGTACACAAAGTGATGAACATCAAGGAGGTGCAGAGATCTCAGTCAACAGGCAGGAAGATGATGGTGATGAGGGGATTTCAAGACCGGGCAGAAGGTCTACAAAACAAGTTAAGGAACCAATATGAATGAAAGAAGACAACTACCTGCAACTATCCTATTTCCAACTACCTGACTTATGATCATACTAGTACAAGCTACTTGGCTAGGTTCTCTCAGCTAATAGAACCACAGACATTTAAAGAAGCAGTGAAAGACAGCAGGTGGATAGAGGCTATGAAACAAAAAGTAAATGCATTAGAAGATAACAAAACATGGGAAATAGTGAACTTACCAGAAGGTAAGAACACTGTTGGATCCAAATGGGTGTACAAGATCAAGTTCAAGGCAAATAGAGAAGTTTAAAGATTTAAAGCAAGGTTAGTAGAAAAAGGATACAGCCAAAGGGAAGGTTTGGATTATCATGACACATTCTCACCGGTGGCAAAGATGGTCACAGTGAGATCTGTCATTTCACTAGTAGCATCAAGAGGTTGGAACCTGTTTTAGATGGATGTCTATAATGCATTCTTATAGGGAGACCTAAATGAAGAAGTGTATATGGAGCTTCCTGAGGGGTTCAGAAGACAAGGGGAGCAGAAGGTGTGCAGATTGCTCAAGTCCTTGTATGGACTTAAGCAGGCCTCTTGACAGTGGAATATCAAGCTGACTGAAGCATTACTTAGAGCAGGGTTCAAACAAATTCATCATGACTACTCACTCTTTACATTGAGAAGTCAAGAAGGGATAGTAATTATTTTAGTGTATGTGGATGATCTCCTCATTACAGGAAGTAGCTCAACACTAGTGAAGAAAGCCAAAGATATACTGCATCAGAATTTTAAGGTAAAAGATCTGGGAGAACATAAATACTTCTAGGTATTGAGGTTCTAAGGTCTATAGGTGGAGTGTTGCTGAACTAAAGGAAATACATACTGGAGTTAATCTCAGAAATGGGTCTGAGTGGTGCCAAACCTGCAAGCACACCATTGGAAGTAAATTCCAAGTATCTAATAGAATATGATCAAGCAAATGGAATCACAGGGATTCACATTTACAGAATGTTGGTGCTTATCAGAGGTTAGTAGGAAGGCTTTTATATGTTACAATTACCAGGCCAGACATCAATTATGTAGTGCAGGCATTGAGTCAGTTTATGCAAGCACCCAAAAGGTCTCACTGGGATGCTGCTTTAAGAGTTGTAAGATACTTGAAAATTGCTCCTGGACAAGGGATGTTGATGAAGTCTGACTATGTAGAGACTCTTGCCTATTGGTATGACTCTGACTGGGCTGTATGTCTGAATACTAGAAGGTCAGTTACTGGATATGTCATCAAATTTGGAGATTCAATGATCTCTTTGAAGTCAAAGAAACAACAAACTGTCTCTAGGAGTTCAGCTGAGGCAGAATACATGAGTATCGCAGCCAGCATTGCTGAGGTAACATGGTTACTTGGGCTATTCAAGGAGTTAGGTGTAAACATAATTCAACCAGTCACAATTCTTAGTGATAGTAAGTCAGCAATCCAACTTGTGGCAAATCCTGTGCTTCATGAAAGAACCAAGCACATAGAGATTGATTGCCTTTTATTCGAGACATGATGAAGGAAGGAACAGTTAAGGCTGTGCATGTTAACACCAAGGAGCAGCAGGCATATTTGCTGACTGTAGCTTTGGGGACAACTCAACATGTTCATCTGCTTGGCAAGCTGGGAGTGTTCAACATTTTGCACCTTCCAGCTTGTGGGTGCATATTGTAATGTCACATGGTTTACACGTGACTTGTTAGATGAGCTGTTAGGCTGTTAGTTAGATAGCTAATGATAGTTATGATTGTTAATATAAGTTAAAGGATAGATTAGTCTTTTTACATGCTTACTAGTCTTCTTCTTCTTAGCTCCTTGTATATAATGAAACAGTGGCTTGAACATTTCCTCTAATCACCGACTCTCTTCCTCACAATTTCTTCCAGAATCTTCCACCATTAGAGCCATTGATAATCTCTATTCTCTGTATTTGAGCAATTGGCAGTGATTCAAGGTATATGTGTGTGGATATAACCTGTATAGTGTTTATTTAATTTGTTTTAAATTAGGTTTAGATTTTTGTTATGTGTCGTTTCATAATGTATCTTATGGTTTTGTATTGCTTAATGAATACAACGTTTAGATAGATTATATCGTTTGTTATTGTTTCATGATGTCATGCACCAACAACATGAGAATAAACTTCCAACATTACTAAGACAAAATAGGATACAGAGTAGAACTATTATAATAAAAAGTAAGGTAAAAGATAAAATATGATTATTTAATGACGAGGAAGGGAAGATGAGAGGAAAAAAATAAGGAAACGACGTCACCACACCAAATCCGTTATTCCATAAAGTAACAGTTTTTGTTGTTACGTAACGACGAATTTAGCGATGCGATACAATAAAATTTAAGTAACAATCAAAATAAATAGTGTATTTAAAGTAATAATACGATACAATACAATAGTAACAACCGTCCAAACAAGGTGTTAGAATATTTATTTCTTACTCCTTGTTTGTTCATTTGATTTCAGAAATGCACAGACGCATACTGTCTCTTTTCAGGTTTCCAATGAGGTACAGACTATGCTAGATGGACAATCAGAGACCTCACAATCACTTATTAAAGCTCTGAGTAATGTTCTTCAAGCAACTCCATCAGAAACGTTTGTTCCTCTCTTTTCTTCTTGTTTTTCTTTTCCCTTTTATTGGTCTAACCTAGCTCCAACGGGAAGGTAGACTTGGGGTAACTGGTAAAGTTGCTGTTATGTGACCAGAAGTTTACGAGTTTGAGTCGTGGAAATAACCTCTTGCAGAAATATAGGGTATGACTGCCTATAATAGACCCCGCGCATAGGGGAGCTAAGTGCACCGGGCTGCCACTAGTCTAACCTAGCTCCAACGGGAAGGTGAGCTATGACGTAACTGGTAAAGTTGATGTCACGTGACCAGAGGGGCACGGGTTCGGGCCGTGGAAATAGCCCTCTTGCAGAAATGTAGGTAAGGCTGTGTACAATAGACCCTTGTGGTCCGGCCCTCTCCCGGACCCCGCGCAAAGCGGGAGCTTAGTGCACCGGGCTGCGACCAGTCTAACCTAGCTCCAACTCTTCAATTGCAGTTACCATGTAGTCGGAGAATATTTCTGCAATATGTACAAGTCCGGTAAGCTCATCAATGGCTTTGAAAACTGGAGAGCATATTCTCAAATGTAAAGTCTACACTGTCAGGCCTTTATCTTTGTATAGGTATTGCCGTACAATTAGTACGCTTGATTAGTTCTATAATATTGGACCTTTTTCCTCTAATTCTTCTGGTGTTGCTATATATGTTGCAGATACATCTGTCAAAGTAATGTATGAACCAACTTCTGTTTTTGCATTTGTCTGTAAGTATTTGAACACGGATATAACAAAGGGGATAAATGATGAGGAGCACATAAAGGTATTTGAAAGTTTCTCCCTTGTTTTAGAATTCTATTCTAGTTGGAAGCTATGTTGCTCGGACTCTCCGAAATGTTGACAGGTGCGTGTCGGATCCTCCAAAAATAGTAAATTTTTTTGAGGACCTGACACTGGTGCGGTATCATTTTTGGAGAGTCCGCAATATAGGTTGGAAGTATGTTTTAAGATTGAATTTTTTCTATGTAATTTCAGGTCAAGCGCATTCTGCAAGGTCTTCAATATAACAACCCGATCGGTCGTTTTGAGCTCTAGCGCGTCGTTTGGCAGTTTGAGTCCATGAGCAGCTTCATTTCGGATATTATGACTTATACGCGTGATCGAAATTGAATTTCGGGAAGTTCGGATTTGAATTGGAAAGAAAATTTTTATTTGAAAAGCTTTAAGTTGAAAGAATTGACCAAGATTGGATTTCGAGTAAACGACCTCGGAATCGGGATTTGAAGGTTCCAACAAGTTCGTATGATGATTTCGGACTTGGGCGTATGTCCGGATCGGGTTTTGGATGACCGTGGAGCGTTTGGACGCCTATTGTGGAAGTTAGCATTTTAGAAGGATTTCATAAATTTGGGTTGAAGAGCATTTCAATGTTACCGATGTCTGTTTGGGATTCCGAGTGTGGGAATAGCTCCGTATGGTGATTCTGGTATTGAGAGCGCGTCCAGAAGTGAATTCGGGGGTCCGTAGGTCATTTTGGGGTCATTTGCCGAAAGTTAGAAATTTGAAGGTTTTTGAGAAGTTTGACCAGAAGTGGACTTTTTGATATCATGGACGGATTCTGATTCCGGAAGTTGGAATAGGTCCGTAATATCGAATGTGACTTGTGTGAAAAATTTGAGGTCAATCGGGCGTGATTTGATACGTTCCGGCCTCGAATTTAGAAGTTTGAAGTTCTAAAGTTCATTCAGCTTGAATTGGAGTGCGATTCATGGTTTTAGCGTTGTTTGATGTGATTTGAAAGCTCGACTAAGTTCGTAATGTGTTTTGGGACAGTTGGTATAATTGGTTGAGGTCCCGAGGGCCTCGGGTGGGTTGCAAACGAATCGATTTTTGACTTGAAGGAGGAGCTGAAGGGGATTCTGGTTGCTGGTGTAACCTCTTCTGCGGAAGCTTCATCGCAGAAGCAGCCCCACAGAAGCTAGGCAGTGAACCGCAGAAGCGGCTGGGAGTGAATAGGGCAGAGGCCGCATGTGCGAAGGAATTTCCGCACCTGCGTGATCGCGGATGCGGTCTTGGCAACGCAGAAGCGGATAGGGGTAGCTGGGGGCTTTCCCATAGAAGCAGAATTGGTGCCGCACCTGCGGAACTACAGAAGCGGTCCAGTGATCGCAGGTGCGAGGATCGCTGGGTAGAGGAGGATTTTATAAACGGGACTTGGCCCATTTTTCTCCAATTTTCATTTGGTTTGGGTGATTTTTGAGAGCTTCAGGGGGAGATTTTCTTCAAGCAACACAAGGTAAGTGATTCCCACTCAAGAAAAGTTAAATACATGGTTTGTATAAGGATTTAAACATAGAAATTTGTAGAAATTGTGGGGTTTTTGGTAGAAAACCTAGAATTTGGCATTTTGGATATTTTACCACGAATTTGGGTATGAAATTGAGAATAAATTATATATTCGAGCGTATGAGGTTATGGGTAAAGTTTATCTTCAAAAAATTTTAGAATCCGGGCAGTGGTCCCGAGGGTAATTTTTATCGACTTTCCGTACGAAGTTAGAAATTGATGTAAATAGAATTATAATGAGTATTAGAATATATATTTATGGATTTTTTCATTTATTGACTAGTTTTGGAGCGTTGGACATTGGTTTGGGTTGTCGGAAGGGCTTGAGAGCCAATTATGGAATTTCGGAGCGAGGTAAGTCTCCTTTCTAACCTTGTAAGAGGGAATTTACCCCATAGGTAAAATAATTCAATATGTGCTTCAATTTGTGGGGGCTACGTACGCACGAGGTGACGAGAGTCCGTGCGTAGCTACTATTATGCTTAAGTCCGGGTAGTCTAGGACCTTAAAGCATGCTATACTTACGATATTTGTAACCTTGTTGCCAATTTAAATTGCTTAAGTCATATCGAACTTGGTAAATAAATTTCTAAAAGGTTAAATTTCATTTTCTTGACCGTGAAAAGAGATTTGCCATTTTTTTTGGGTAATTGCTCCTTGATGAATTCTTGATTGACTGTTTGAATGTATTTTTCTTTTGTGGAATGGGCCGAACGCCTCGACAGATTAAATAGATGCATCTATGGTTCGTGCCGTTCGACCATCCGGCGATGCACAATTTAAATATTATGTTGGATCGGGTCGTACGACCTCGACATGATTGCGCATGACTTAATTGATTGTCTTTGAACTATTGATGATTGATGTGGCCTCATTGGCCGGAGATATAAATTGTTAAAATATGATAAATAAATTTGGGATTCTCCTATTAACAAAAGAATTGTTTACCTGCTTCATGTTATTGAGCTTGCAGTCGCCTTATAAAATCCACAATTTCACACATTGTTGGTATATTATTGTTGGCCATAGTAAATGTCGGAGTCGACCTCTCGTCACTACTTTTTCGAGTTTAGACTGATACTTACTGGGTACACGTTGTTTTCGTACTCACACTACACTTGCTGTACATTTTGTTGTACAAGCACATGTATGGCTAGTGGCCTAGTGGGCGCAGTGGCATGGATGACACGGGGACTTAGGTGAGCAGCATCTTGTGTGACGATCCGCAGCCAGCAGAGTCTCCTTCAGGGTACTTGTATTTTCTTTTCTATCCAAAAATTGTATTCCGGACAGTTATTGTATTTTATCTTATTTCCTAGTAAATGCTCATGCACCTGTAACACCGGATTCTAGGATGATTATGGGATATTCGGTATTGAAATTTGGAAAACATTATTATTATTATTCTGTAAAGTTCATCTTTTACTAGTTAAGTTGAAGAAAATTTATGATTTCAAAAATGTTAAAATGAGAATTTAATCAACTATTTAGTGTTGGCTTGCCTGACAGTGGTGTCCGGCGCCATCACGACCTTTAACGGATTTTGGGTAGTAAAAACATGGTATCACAGCACTAGGTTCATTTAGGTCTCATGAGTCATGAGC